AATTTTGATCAGGTAGGGTATGAGGTCGTACTAAAGGGGAAAAAAAAAAAAAAAAAAAAAAAAAAAAAAAAAAAAAAAATGTTGCACGTGGCGTTGTTATCGCGTTCAAATGGCGCTGATAATCACACCGCCATGCGCACCGCTAACGGCACCGCTACACGTCGCGCCGCTTATCGCCCCCACCTTGATGCTCGTGAAGGCGCTCTTCCGCTCCATAATGTCGAGGACGTAGTTTTTAAAAATGTACACGTGGCTGTCCAGCAGGTCCGTCTTCAAAATAAAATTGCGATGTGCGGTCAAATTTATTTTACTGATCTTGAACCTCCCACTCTGCTTCATGGAAAGTGAATCCTTTATACTCACGACCTTGCTGTTCTTGTCAATGCATACCCATATATTATTTTCTAGGTTTAGTATATCGTCGTGGCTTTTTTGTTTCTTCGTCTCGTTGTATGCTTGATTCTCCTCCAGGAGCAGAAGCGCGCAAATGGCATTTTCGCCGCGAAACAGGTCTACATAGAGGGGGGGAAACAGAATGAAACAAAATGCCACACGGGATGATATAACGCATGGTTACTCCCGCGCACCCGCTTCGCCATTACAAGCGCTAACAGGTGAAAAGGGGGGGGGGAGAAACGAGTCTCTGCTCCCCCACCAACGACATGCACTTTTACTGGCCAAAGAATGGAAGTCCACGAATCCCATAATGTCACAGTTAACCACGATAAAGTCAGACTGAGTGGGGGGGGAAGAAAAAAAAAAACGTGAGTGTCTTCGTGGAGCGCTCACAAGGGGCGCTTCATCATGCCAGGGCGCACCGCTTAACACAGCGACCGCTTCAAACCGCTCCACACCGCTCCACACGGCGTACCTTTATCTTGTGGCGCATCTGCAGGAGGCACTGGACTGGCCCCAACTCCTCGTTGTTGCTGGAGGTGTAGGGCTCCACGTCAATGCAGTAGCCGTCGAGGCCCTTCTTATTGTCCGCCTTGTAGTTATCTGGGAATGCCTCATTAACGTAACTGACCATCTCATTGTAGTACTTGCTATTCACAAGGATGGTAATGTATTTTAACTTTTGCTCAATGATGTTCCTCAGGATGAAGTAGATCATGCAGCGATTGCTTATCTTTATAAGTCCCTTGCATGTCCCTTCACACAAATCACTCGCGAAGTGGTTTTCATCATTCGTTAAAACAACGACTTGAAATTCCACGAAGGTACCTACGGGTACTTTCGGGCTGCTGGCATTTGCTGACTGCATTGGCGTTTTTACTAGAAAAAAAAAAAAAAAAAGGAGCAGCAGCGAGAAGGGACCACAGGGGGGCAGGAAGAGGCCCTCAAGGCCAAGGACGGAAAAAAAAAAAACGTACGCAAATAGAGGTATCCCCAAGATGGTGGAAAAAAAAATAGAGCAGATTAGAGAGAGCAGCACAGCATTAGCAGCCAAATGGGGGGAACAGAAAAATAAACACCCTGCGGACAAATTCAGCCCATTTGTGTTTCCCCATTTGAAACGCCAAAACGGGGCTTCTCCTTAAACCCTTCTCTTAATGGGAACAAAAAAAAAAAAAAAAAAAAAAAAAAAAAAAAAAAAAAAAAAAAAAAAAATACAATAAACAAATAAGTAGCGAATAAATAATTCCACTTGCTCCGTCCGGCCGCTCCTCCGTCAGGGGATACTTTTCCACTTAGTGCGCAACATGTGGGGGGCACGCAGAAAAAAAAAAAAAAAAGTAGCCAATCGTTCATGGAACACGGCCAATTGACATGGCGGGAAAACTTCGTGTGGCCACCGGCATCTGCAATGCGCCTCGGGTATCTCGCTTTAGCTCCCCCAACCCAGAAAAAAAAAAAAAAAATGTACATTTCATAACCGTCGCCAGCAGACAGTTGGCCGTGGAGCATCCGGGTGAAGGTCCCCTGTATACGTGTGAATTCGCTTTGCAAACGGGTGTACAAACGTGGGGGGGGTAGCGAATGGGTAGCCACTGGGAATAACACAGTTACATGAGCGACGTGTACACAAACAGGACGACGAAGGAAAGCAGCGAAAGGGCAGAAAGCTGAAGCAGCAGAATAAACGTCCTGTAAAAATTAAAGCTGTTTTTCTGCTTTGCCTTCTCGCAGTGACCGACTGGGGCAGCAGTGTCACCACCGCATGGTGATGAAAAGATCTTCGCAACCATCCCCTTCTCCTTATGTCTGTTCATAATGTTTTTTATATTTCTCTTTGAAACTATGTGTTCATACATTTCGTGATTCAAAAAATGTTCCTTCTCCTGTTGGGGCTTGTCATTTTGTAGTGCCCCGTCTGCACCCCCACCGCTGCTCAGGAAACTTCCCTTCGCAACATGATTGGTCCTCTTGTTGCAGTAAGAAATGGCCGCGTCGTATGTGTGCTTCAGGTCCTGCTTGAACTTGCTGAGCCTCCTGGGTGTGTCGCCCACGCGATCCCCCACCTCACGCGCGTGTTCGCCTGCGTATTCGCCGGGGCCATTCCGGAGGTCTACTTCATCAGGGCGCTCCGCCAGCTTGTCCCCCATGTGGATGTTGCCCCCTGATGGGTGCCCATCGAGCAGCCCATCTCCACCGAGGTGTTCTCCCTTGTCCTGTCGTCTCTCTTGTGTGCCTCCCCTCGATTCACTAATAGTGACATCTTCACCATGCTGGTTCAAGTTAGACGCATTTTCTTCTCCTGCAGGGGGGAGTTCTTTCGCCAAGGTCCCATTCCCCACATGCCCCATACCGACCCCGGTGTCCCTACCTTCGCGGCTCTCCCTGCTCACCGTGGCCACATTCAAAATATGCCTCAGCTTAGAAAATGCACCAGTGGTGATTCTTTGTTCTAACCCTTTGCTCGTTTTAATAACTCGTAAAAAAAATTCATCTTTTACGTACCTGCAAAAATATACATTGTCTACCATTTGTATGAACCCTTCATCAACGTCGCCCTTCCCAGAGTAGTAGTTACTCTCCTGCAGATACGTGTTGTATATGTAATTCAGGATAATAAGATCGTTTCTTTCATTTGTCCTTTCCTGTTCTGTGAGATCCTTATATGTATTTTTTTTCTTCCTCTTCTTCACTGCTTTCTCGTAGTTCTCTTCAAAAAGGGAGGAGTTTATTTTTCCTTCTGCTAATTTAACTACCTTACATTTATTCAAATTGAGTATGCACAGAGTGAACAGGAACTCGACGAGGTGATTAGACTTGAGGACCTCGAAGTTGTTGCAGCAGTCCTCAATGAGGTTCTCAAATAGGATCCTCTCACATGAGTTCAATGCAAATTCATACTTGTTACTTCGGTCATACAGGTTGTAGTGTTCTTTTATTTTTTTTTTCTCGCTGATCTTCTTGGGGTACTTGCTTTTCTGCGTCTCGTTTCGGGCTTCCCCGCCGAGGCCACCGCCCGCTCTACAAATGCTTGAGCTGTTAAAGCGAGAGCTGTGCGCGCTCGACTCACGCCCCCCTGAATCACGCCCCCCTGAATCACGCCCGCCTAAATCACGCCGGCTTGAATCACGCGCGCCGGTGGAGCCGGCCTTGCTGTTCTCCACGCTCAGGCTCCTGCACGTTTTCCTCCTGGCACCGCTTCGGTCCGTATAATCTCTAATCACCTCACGGGGGAGACACGCTCCTCCGCTAACCGCTTCCCCCTCATCGTGCTGCTGCTGAGCATGCCGCCTATCATGCTGATCATCGTGTAGGAAGGCGTGCGCGAGAATCTTAAAGACGAGCGCGTGGCAGACGGGTCGGCGGTAGAAGGAGTAGGGGAAGAGCTTCCCTCCCGCGTAGTATTCCGCGATGACGGGCTCATACGCCCTGTACTCCCTCTCGCTCTCACTCCCAATGGCAACCCCACACCTCTGCTCCGACTTGCCCTCCCCTGTCTTCCTAACGGTAATAAGATAATTCTTCACGACGAGCATCTTCTGGCAACCGAAGGAGCAGCAAATGGTTATAAACTCAGCCAAGGGTAAGAAGTGCAAAATGCTAATAATGTATTCACTCAAATCTTTGAAGAAATCTGTGCAACAGACCTCCATCACACACAAGGACCACAGGATGTTAACCAGCAACACACACTTGGTAAGCTTTTTAATATTACCTCGAAAGTAATTCAGGGTCTTGTGAAAGAAGTAAGGATAATCTGTATTTTTAACATGTAAGTTAGTCAAGGCACATAAGATGTTAGTGAAGGCATACAAACTTATGTGTTCTACTCGGTCATACAAGTAGGATACAATCCGGTCGATATTTTTCTTGTGGTTGTGGTTTAGGAAGTTCTTATCTTGTGAATTGCAAATGTGGAGGAGGTGTAGGTAGAGGCACAGATTCTCATTGGTACTTTCTTCTAATCTTATATGCAGATGTTTGTTCAATTCTAATTTACACTCTTCCACGTGAATTATATTACAATATTTAAAAAGGTAACTCACACAGAATACAAGTTCATTGCTTACCCTCATCGACTCCACCTCCTTGTATAAGATCCTCAACAAGTCAACGTACTGTATATTTTTCTTCAACACACAAAGACACCAAGCTATTTTTAATATTTCCACAAGAGTTATTATTTTCATGTCTTCCCCAAGGTAGAAACATTTTTTCTTGTACCTCTTATTATCCTCATATAAGTGACTTTGATTCGGGAGGAGCCCCATGGCACCTTCATGTGTATTCTCCACTTGATCCTTCTTCTCTAACACTATTCGTTTGTTATAGAAGGTGAAGAAGTTCACTTGGTTGGCTTGGTCAACGGGGTCTCTCTCTTTCGCATCGCCATGTGATGTAAGCGTCGTCTTCACTTCCCTGTCTTCTTGCCCCCCGTCGCCTCGAGCACATTTTTCATTTTCCCTTATCTGTATATAATAGTACTTGTTTTCGTCGCCGATCTTCCCCCCCAGATTGTCCTTCAACAAACAGGTCTTCAAATTTAAGCAGTACAAAATTTTATTGAGTAACTTTATAAGGACCTGGTCAGGGAGCTCAGTTCCCTTGTGACTTCCATTCATCTCATGCGTTAAATAATACAATGCCAAGGCGAGCAGCACATTTATATTTTTTATCGTTATGGGTATACCATTGATCGACTCCTTGATGTATTTACAATACTCTTCATAAGTATGTATGCTACCCACTTGGTTCTTCATATGTTTTTTTTTTTTCTCCTTTGACCCAACAGTAGGGAGTCCTTCAGAAGTATTTACTCCACTGTTCACAATCATCCCGTTGGCTATTTTATTCTGGCTTGATCTGCTGTCATTACAATTTACAACACTCCCCTCTCCTCTCTTCCCTCCACTGTTATACACACTCACATTACTGCTGAGCAAATTTTTACTCCCCATTTCATTATTGAATAAGTTACTTAGTTTCTGTTCAGACAAGTACAAAGGGGGGTGGAGGAAATTCTTCATCCCTTTCTTGCCCTCCGATCTGACCGAGTTAGGGGCAACGTGTGAGAGGTACTCCCCTCCTCTATTCGAGCCCATCCCGCTACCACTACAAATGCTCTGGTTGCAATTGTTAAGGGGAACCTTTTCATCGTTCCTAATTAAATATTCACCTGTGGGGGGCAACTTCTTCACATACCCACTCATATTTTCCTTTTCATTATATCTGTCCCCGGGAGAAAAGTACTCCCCATTTTGTTCTTCGCGCATGGTAGTATGTCTAGCCATACCACTTGCACCACCTTCGCCATACAAAGCACCGTACATCTCGGACGTGCCAATTAAATGGTTGTCACGTGTGGACTTGTCCTTGCTCGGGTGCAACCCTAACATGTGCACACTACTTGTTAATACTTCACCGGATGGGATTCCCCTCTCGAGGGATATCATATCGGGTTTGTCTTTTGTTAGATTATTAACGGGGTCATTCACACCCCTACTACTTATTGTGCCCCCATTCATAGGAGTGTCTACTAGCTTGCTCGAATCGGAGTAAGTCGATTTGAGGAAACTCATGCTAATGGCGCTATTTCCAATATAATCAGCATGAGCCGACTTATTACCCACAGAAAAGCAACTCCCATTTTCACCACCACCTCTGTCGCTCACTTTTCCATCTCCCTTGTTCAACGCCCCCCTGTAGCTACTACCATTCTGAACATCCTCAACATGTTTGTTATTAAAAATGTGAATACTGCTCATCAGCTCGTTCTCATTATTGCATCTACTCTGGTATCCCCTCAAAACAGAGCTAAAAAGGGATCCCTGTTGTCTTCTAATCCCTTCCATATTTGTTTTTCTCCTCAAGTAGGTATTTTCAAACTTACTAACGAATCCCTTTTTCTTTCCCAAGTCTTTCCTAATCGACACTTCATTCTTGAGGATGCTATTTCGGTTGCTCAGGTAATGCACATAATCTTTATTCCTTTGCATTAAATTTTTTTTTTTACTACTACCCAAGGAAGAAGGGTCGTCTCGAACGAATCTGTTCATCCGGTAGGGATAGTAGCTCTTGTTGTTGCTGTCCCGTCCCAAGCTGCTTCGGCTTATACATTCTGCTTTGTTCATAAAGGAAGTTTTAATTTTCGTTCCCTCACAATTCTCCCTCCTGCTTAGGCGATGGAAAATAGGGTTCACAGCGCGCTCCACATCCATGTCAATACCGTTTCCGCTGCTGCTACTTCCATATCTCTTAAGCAACTCATCAACGCTGTTCATGTTAATGGCGGCTCTGTTGGGATGTTCGTCCTGCACCCCTTTCGAGGTACTCTGGCCAAACTTCAAAAATTCGTCTTTTACATACAAGTTGCTTTTTTTCTCTTCCTTAAATTTGTTAAGGTGTGTAAAATCGGTTGCATTAGCCGAGTTTGTGGAGCTAAAAAAATTGGTCATGTTATTTGAAAAGGAAACTGAATTTGTGTATCCTCTGCTCTGATCATTTTGCTGAGTGCCATAGTTAAAGGGGACATTGCCACTGTTCATATTCCTTCCCTCGGAAAAGATCGACCCGTTATTGAAGTGGCTATCATAGTTAGGGTTCTCCTGCCGTTCAGAATGGCTGTAATCATTCGCTCTACTACCATATATTGTCTGGCCACGCGCACCGTTAAAATGGCCCCTCGGAGGACCATTAGCCGTTCTGCCAATGTCGCATTTTTCTGGTGCATTCCTGCCCTCATAAAAATCCCTGTGAGCACCTCCACTGGCATTGTAACTTGTCTTTCCAGTATTTTTAAAATCCAAGCTCAATTTACTCCTTAAATATTTTTCTGCAATTTCTTCAGCGGAGCTATTCTTAGAAATGTTGAGACTTTCGTAGCTGCTCAGAAAGGGATTGGACTTTGCACCACCACGGTTGCTCTTCAATGTGTCATCGTGTTTGCAATTCATTTTACATACGCAAAAAAGGGGAAAAAAAAAAAAAAAAAAAAAAAAAAAAGAGGCGGAAAGAGCTATGTTACGATTGTCGTTTTTGTCTTCCCCTCTGTGTGTATTTTCGTGGCGATGTTACTCTGATTGCATTCACTGCACCAGAGGTGATAGTCCGATGGATCTGCTCCACAATATATATATTTGCCGTTCCGTACACAATGGTAGCTACCCCCCCGCGGACGTTCACAAGTTAAGGTGTGTACGGCGTGTGTGTGTGTGTGTTTTTTTTTTTTTTTTGTGCTTTCCTGTAAAGTCACGTAATCGCGGCGAAGAGTGGCCAATTAATTCCGTGTCTTTTTTATATGCCCGCGGGAAAAAATCGGCCTTTCCAAGGCCAAGCAGCGTTACCGCTACGGGGTGCTATGCTTTTACTCTGCTATGTAGCTACCGTCGCTCCTCCATCATGTTTGTAGCCCCCTGCACGCGTTCGTTCAAGCAAAAATGTATTTCCAATCCCCCACTGGATGAAAACCCGTCGCGATGGCCTGCCACTCCCTTTAAGCCAAAATCTCCGTGTCTATCGATGTGTGGTGACGCTCGCAGTGTACCAACAAAAAAAAAAAAAAAAAAAAAAGGGAAGAGGCCATGCAAGGATCTTCTCTATAATCAAAATTAATAAAAGGAAGAGCTACATAATTGATAGCCTCTTTTGTAATACATTCCAAAGTGACAAACACTTAAATGTAGATTTAACAAATGATGGAGAAAACATAAAACACGAAAAAGGGAAAATCGCGGCATTCGTTGGGAAAACAAATATGCCTACGCGCTTATATTTTCCTTTTTTTTTTTTTTTTTTTTTTTTTTT